GGAGGAGAGCTGGGTGAAGACTGGACTGTACTGGTATTTGAGGTGAGGCTGGTACCTGCAGTAGGAGACAACACCTTGTTATTCATTTTCTGTTCTTCTACCTGTGCTGCAAGACTAAGCTGGACCCACTTGTTGCCCTCTGTCGTCAGCCTGCTCACTGACAGGCTTGATGGGCCCTGACTAAAGTTTGGAATTCAGAGATCAGGAGTATGTGAATACCAGACCTTCCAATACACTTCACTCCTGCATATGGCAGCTCCATGGTTATACAACCGACACCAGGAATGAGTGGCTAAACAAATAAAGGGCTGGTTTCACTTTTTCACATGGATTGGACAGTCTGGTATTCTCACTCTTCATTTAGCACAATAAGTATACTAAATACTACAAATCCATTTTGTTAGCTTTCATTGTAATAATTGAATTTATCATGAATTAATTAACAGTGATGAAACAGCTCCCTGGCAAGTAGTCTCTGGCTCCCTGTCATCAGGGATAAAGCAGTTAAAAGGGAAGGATTAACTAATTAACTAAGATAATATTTGCTTACATCCAGGACATGGGTAATTTAAGCTTGCCCAGTGATAAAGCAGGACATGCAGTGAAATGAAGAGGACTGCTACATACCTGTAGGAGTCATTGTGGTGCTACTGTAACGAGATGTGGTGGTAGATGAAGAATTGTCAACCTCAGTGGTAGAGGCTGTGCTGAGAGAGGTAGCTGTAGTAGGTGAGAAGGAATCTGTGATGGTGCTGTTTTCTGTGGCTGCTGTTGTGTTGTGGATACTGGTGGTGGGAGATTCAGGAGCTTGAGTAGTGGCCAGCATGCCTGTGCTGTTTGTTGTAGTTTCTACCCCTGTAGTGGTATGAGCTACAGGTGGGGTTGTCCATGTAGTGGACATCGTGCCAAGAGTGCTAACTGAGCTATCATTTCCCTCTTTTGTAGTCATTGTTGTTACTGGGGGGTTTTCAGTAAGGGTAGAGGTCTGATCAGTGCTGTTGGTAGAGGTTGTACTATGAGGCACACTGGTGGTCGAAGTGGATTCTGTTGATTCTGGTTTGCTGGTGCTTCCATGTGTGCTATCAGATTTTTGCGTAGGATATGCTGAAGAGGTGGTCCTGGCAGTGATCGGTTCTGTAGATGAAACGTTCGAAGATGTGCTCTGTGCTGAACCAGAAGGGAAACCATCAGTTGGAGTGTAGGGGGTTGAAGTCACAGTTGTCACCAAAGTAGTTGTCTGGGTGGTCTTAGCACTTTGTGTTTGGCTTGATGCTGTGCTTCCTACAAAGAATGAAAACAAAAGACTTTAAGCTAGGTAACTGCAGTCAGTGATGAAACATTTGCATGATTTTATTGTTTACCGTGTACTTTATGATGTACTGGACTTTGAGAATGAACTTTGAGATTATTACAGGTAAATGTCTTGTGTCCAGCCATCCTGCAACAGCTGACTTCATACTTGTACACCCAAGTTACACCCTAGTGGCACAGTCACCAGGGTTAGGCCTGATACCTGCCCACAGGGAAGACGAATTCACAGTCCGTAGCTAGCAGACTGAGGCCTGGGTTACATCCCACCTTTGACCTTTTCTGTCAGCTGGAAAATTCCAGACCTTCTGATTTGCATGAGGCTGACAGAAAAAAAAGCCTCTGAAAAAAACAAAACCAGATTATATTTTAGGAATTTTCTGTCTGCAGGAAGATAGTCTTGATTTTATCCAGGCTATTAAACATGCTGTTGTTTTGGTCCTTGGGAAATGCCACATTGAGCAGAAATGAGAATGTCTGAACGTAATCATTCCTTGAACTTTCAACTTTCAACTTGGGTTCGTGTCGACTCAGTGGAGGGCACAGCTGTTGTCAGGGTGGTCTCAAGAGTTTCCTGCCTGCGTTGTTGATGTGATGACTAATGCAAAAGAATAACACAAAAGTACATCCTGAAATGGTGAGTCACCATTTGAAATCACTCCAGGGGTCCCTAAAGTGTAACTTGGAATGACCAGTTGTAGATTAAAAAGGCATGCAAGTGTTAAAAAATCCACAGCAATGATTTTACTTAATATCATTATCTTCATCTTTCTCTTCTGTTATATTTTTTTCGTATTAATGGAAGCACAGGGACTCTCATCAGGCAGCCCTAACGCTAAAACCAAAACTAACCTTGTGCTGCCAAATGCTTAAACCTATTTTGCTAATGACAGACAACTTTACAGGTTACTCTTGTTCATACCTGAAAAGAGCTTAACAGACAAAAAATGCTTTTTTTCCTATTGATCAGCATGCAATTAATCTTTATTTGTAATTTTGTGAAAGTATGCAGAATGAATCGTTTTGTTGCTAAACATAATCACGGCCTTCTCTATTGAAAAGCAGACACGCCACCAGCAAACAAACCAAATAACTTATTCGGGAGACAGCAGGCTAGGATTTGCTAGTATTGTGCTCTTTGTAGGTCTTCAATCCCTTTAGTTACTGGGCTCCTATCAGGGTTAAGGTCTGAGACAGGATTTACAACCCTCCACATTTGAATAGTGTCACTGAATTTTGTGTGCTGTATGAAAAGACTAGATACAAATTGTGCTGTCTCTTATGTGTCCTTTCAATCTCTATCTCTAGCAAGCAGCATATACTGTACATCAGATCCAGAGAATGTTGTGCACACGTGCACCAAAGGTTGTCAGGAGGAATCACAGATCCGTGTCTCGTAACCCCCCGCACACACGATCTTCTCCCAGGTCAAAGTGTTGTGGAGATGAAACACCTGTTCTACGATTCGCTATGTGGGCTGAACATAGTCCTACACATTTTTGGAAGCAGTTTTCACTCGATGGAATGAAATTCAGAAAGGTAAGGATCGGTGTCCTGAAGATATTTCTCTGCACAGCTTTGGTGGTTTATTAAGGGAGACTGGTACAAGCCTGGATGGATATCTCCTTAAAAAGAGCACATCTCTTGGAAAAAGGTCCTCACGTGATGCTTCACTGGAAGTAGACTTTCAAATTGACCTAATGTAATACTTCAGAGCAAGTGTTTAATGACAAGGGACAATTAGGGTAAGACATGAAAAACAGCTTTAAAATACTGTAACTAGAAAACTAGATTAGACTCTTTACCCATAACACAAAGAACACTTACAAGAGCCACTCTAGGAAAAAAACAAATGGTTCATGCCATAAAAATGCAACTATAATACAAATATTTCAGTAAATAACTCAACCAATCAAGGCTCAACAATAGCAAAACCAGTGCACTGTTATTCTGAGAGCCCAGGATTTGAAAGTTTACTCTGGGAAAAAAAGTATGAGAACCATCTGAGTGCAGGCCTCTCAGTCCACACAGCTACACTGTCCTCTTATCAGTGTGACAGCTGTTTAAGATCCCATTGCACTTGTGATGAAAAACAAAGCCAAGGAGGAGAGTCGCCGCATTTTGTCTGGGTCACAAGATTAGATTACACTTTCTTATAAAAAGCCAACCTGGGGTTTTTCAAGGCTTTGCAAATGGAGCAGCAATATACGGCAGAATTTTTAAAAGCAATGTGAGAGTGTATGTGTCCAACACACCTGATGTGTCAAAAGCAGCAGCTGACTGGGCATGGTCACCTCCAATTTACACTCTAGTGCAGCAAATATAGGAACCGTTACAAGCAAGAGGAAGCCATTTAGCCCATCTAGACCATTCAGTAGTTAGTAGCTGCTGTAATTAATCCAAGAATCTCAACCAGACATTTCTTGAAAGATGCCAGGAACTTAGCTTCATAAACAGCTTGATCCAAATCCCCACTCCCCTTTGTTTAAAGACATGTATTCTGTGCTAAATAAAACATCATTTTGAATGCACTTCCACTTTTGTAGTTCATGTTCCTTTGTTGATTAAGAAGAAGACCACTGGGTTGATTTCATCAGTGATTTAAAGGATGCTGAATACTTCTAT